CAGGGAAATGAAATCAAAACCACTATGAGCTACCTCCTCACACCTGTCAAAATGGCTAAAGTAAAAAACACAAGAAACGACAGGTGTTGGCGGGGATGCGGAGAAAGGGGAACCCTCCTACACTGTTGGTGGGAATGCAAGCTGGTGCAACCACTCTGGAAAACAGTATGGAGGTTCCTCAACATGTTAAAAATAGAGCTATCCTATGACCCAGCAATTGCACTACTAGGTATTTACCCAAAAAATATGAAAACATTAATTCAAAGGGATACAGTCACCCTTATGTTTATAGCAGCATTATTTACAATAGCCAAATTATGGAAGCAGCCTAAGTGTCCACAGACTGATGAATGCATATAGAAGATGAGATATATATACACAGTGGACTATTACTCAGCCATAAAAGAGAATGAGATCTTGCCATTTTCAATGACATGGATGGATATAGAAGGTATTATGCTAAGTGAAATAAGTCAGAGTAAGACAGATACCATATGATTTCACTCGTGAAATTTAATAAACAAAACAAATGAGAAAAGGAAAATAAAAGAGACAAACCAAGAAACAAACTCTTAACTACAGAGAATGCACTGATGTTACCAGAGGGCAGGTGGCTGGGGATGGGGAAACAGGTGATGGGGAGGAAGGAGGGCACTTGTGATGAGTACCGGGTGATTTATGGAAGTAATGAATCACTATATTGTACACCTGAAACTAATATAACACTGTGTATTAACTACCTGGAATTTAAATAAAACCCCAAAAATGCGTTTTTAAATGTTTTGTGCTCTTACTAATGTTAAAATCAGCACGAGCTATTAAATAATGAGAGTGCGGTGAAAATCTGTCATGTTGACTATGGATTTATCACAATCTGTTTGTAATGTTTCTCTGTCTTGATCGTTGGGCAGTGACGCCCACACTTAGATCTGGTGACATGGCAGTCCCACGCGGGGCCATCTGGTAGTTAGCGCTTACCGGGTCTGTCTTTCCCCATTCTTTTTCTTTGGCTATTTTAAAGTCTGTGTGTTAAGGTGTGTTCTTATTGGCAACATACAAATGAGAAGCACACAATCTGAAGATAATTTTATTTAACCAGAGGGTTTACTTCACAAGTGAGGGACTTGTCGGTAGGCTTGCTGTCCTCCTGGAGAAGCCTTGCCTCTCATGCCCTCCTGCAAGCTCCCGACAGTATTTTAATTCTCCTTGTTGTTGTTGTTTTTTTTTTATCCTCAAAATTCGTCATGATTATCACTGTTTATACAGTAGAGGTTTACTTTAGATTTGTTCACATTTACGTAGATTTGTTGGCTCACTCTTCGTTCGTGCACGTTTTGGTACAGCTTCCTTCAAGTGTGTTCTTCAGATGGGGCAACTGACTTGTTTCGCTTCATCTGAAAACTGCCCTTGATTTCACCTTTGCTCACGAATGATCTTTTATCGTGATGTACAATTCCACACCATTTGTTCAGTAGACCTTCATTATGTGCCTACCCTGGGCCAGCGCTGTTTTTGGGCTGGATGCACGACAGTGAACAAAACTGTAAGATGTCCCCATCTCGTTAAGTTTTATTGGAGGGAGAGAGACAACAAAGAGATAAAAATAAGTAAAATAAAAATCAACCCATATTAAAAGCTATAGAGAAAAGTGAGAAGGTAGACAGTGGAGAATGGGGTGTTGTTATTTGACACCTGGCTGTTATTTCCTGTACTCTACCTATAGGCTGATCTGGGAGGCCCTCCCTGAGGAGGTGATACTTAAGGAGAGGCAGGATGAACTGAGAGGGAGCTACGTGCCTCCCAGGGGAGGAGCATTCTAGAGAGAGCAGAGCAACTGAAATGTCTGAGGAAAATCACGGAGGCCAGCGTGGCTGGGGAGGGGTTAGAGCCATGCAGAGCAGGTGAGGTCAAAGTGTGAGGAGCCGGAGTGTGTAGGACCTGGACTCTTTATGCCGAGAGCAATCACTGGAGAATTTCAAGCAAAAGGATAACACGCAATTTTTCTCAGCCTGTGGAGGATTCAATGCTGCCCCCTGTCGCATCTGTTGGAAGCTCTGACATCCACCTAATTTCTTCCTTTGAAGGTGAATTGTTTTCTTTCTTGCTGCTTTTAGGAAGTGTTGTGTCTCCAGGTCCGTTACGATAGGGGTGGTTGCAGATGGGACTGCATCTGCCGTGTTGGGGACTGTGTGCCCCTCAGGTTGAATGACTCATGTCTTCGGAAAGGTAGGGCGCCCGGCGCAGCAGAGGCCTGGAAAAATGTGAATTTCAGGGAAACAGTGAAAGATGGTCTAGTACAAGCACGTTCCATACAATACACACGCGGGCATCCTTACGCTGGAAACCATTAGCGGCGCAACGTACCGGGGTGCCCTCGACCTCACCCGGCGCTCCTGTCCGAGTTCAGCGACGTCCTTGGCTGTCGTCCTCACCAGCGTGACTCTCCTGCATTGTCTCTCTCTGTCCCTCCAGTCACGGGTGTGGGGCCCCACCTGCGCCCTACACTCCCCAGCACTCCTCACACTACGTTTTTCTTGTCTTTGTTGAATCCTGGGTAAGTTCTTTACAATTACCACCCGGTTCATCATTTTTCTCCTCAGCTGAATATTACATGCTCCTCAATACACCTTTTACCTTTAATTTTATTTAATTTTATTTTTTTATTTATTTTTTTTACCTTTAATTTTAAAGATTTTATTTTTTACTTCCATTTTGTTTTTTTTTTCAAATTTATCTTTTTTTTTTGCTAATATCACTTCTTTTTTGTTTTAAATTGCTTCCTTCAATTCTTAAAATACACGCATTGGCTGTATGGTGTGTTTCCAGTAATGAAGTACTCCCGGCATTCGTGGTGGGCCTGTGCTGGTACCCCCCCGGGGGTTCGCCCCCTCACCGTTTTCGTGGCTCCATTTGTCAGCTTGCATTGGGCGGCAGGCCCAGGGGCCCCGTCTGGGTCTGTCAACCCAGAAAGCTTTGTGCTTGCTTCTGCCGGGGGCTCCTCTGGGTTGGCTTCTGGGGCTGGGGCATCCCCCGACTCCCCAGATTCCTCCGGGGGCTCAGAACGGGACAGTTTCCCCGGCGCACTCACCTTGCCGGAGGTGGATGTTTCCTGGCTCATCCTGGTCACGGGCAGCGTGACCTCTGAGCATGTCATCTTTAAGCAGGGATGAGCTCTGATTCCCCTCGGAGCCACGGCGAATGCAGTCTGGACACCATCAGCACCCGGCAGCGAGACCGCTCTGGATCTATCTGCTTCTCGGCGGCCACTGTGAGGTCTGGCCTTTGCCACGAGTGTGGGAGCTCATTGAAGTGGATTTCCAGTGTTATTTTATCGAGGATCATACTTGGCAGTGGGAGTGTTTTCAGAGCGTCTGACCTGCCACGTGCCGAGAGTCAAGGTCCTCATTAAACAGATCGTCATCGACGGCTCGAAGGGCCCCTAAGCAGGCTCTTTCCAGCCGATGCTCAGGTGTATCTGGTTGGACTTTTTACCTTCACAACCTGTCCTCTGGGCTCTGACTTGGCAAGTAAGCGGAGAGGTGGACACGAGAGCAAGTGCTTGCTTCGGCGACCTTAAGCCAGGTTTTGACAATGGAACGTTACACTTGCTAGTTCCCACAGGCCATGTCAGGTGACTTATTAATGTTAGGTCAGGTCATCTGGAAGAGAAAGGTACTTTGTAGACCTGTGTGTTGTTGCTGTCCCCAAACCTTGAAGCCCTCTGAGTCTTGGCTGGTCCATGCGGATGTCTCCCACGCACCGCTTCACCCTCTCGCCTTAGAAACTCCAAGTCCTGTTATTGTCCTGGGAGGCATGTCCACATTCTCAAACCTGCTACCGATGATGGACATTTCGGGAGCAAAGTCAAAGGCCTCGTGTTCCACTCCTGCCATTTTATAGATGCAACTGTGTGTCACACACACGTTCTTGTAAAATTCATACAGATCAGCAGACTTGTGCTCAGAGTATGCACCAGGAGTCAGTGAACTCAGTGGTGCTCGCAGGAATTGTTCCGAAGGAGAGCCTCCCAGTTCCTTCTGGGCGTTCCATCAATATACCACATAACAACAAACTTTCACAGTTTTTTGCTAAAAAATATTTCAATGGGTAGAATTTTCCCTCCGTCGTAAGATTTATCTTCACATTTATTTTTCTCATGTATATTTTGTGTTGCCTCTTCCAGCAACAGCTAACAGTTAAGACAAAAAGAAGCACATGAATATTTTAAAAAAGAAAACAGAAACTAATCAATTAAGTTTAACATCTTTTCTTTTGTTCACATTCACATGCAAACAGTGATTTACACCACATGCGTGCAATAAAACCATGCCTTTGATCCTGTAATAACATTGGATAGAGCTGGGTCTCAGCATTGCACAATGAACCCTGTGGTTTTAAAGGTTCTGTCTCGTTCTCTTTTTAAAAGTTTTTTATTTTAAGTAGACTCCACACCTGACGTGGGGCTCAAAGTCACAACCCTGAGATCAAGAGTTGCATGCTCTCTATTCATTGAACCAGCCAGGAGCCCCTAAGGGTCTGTCTCTTGCACAAGGTTGAAAGTCAGTGTTGTTTCTGGAGGCTACTGTGGAGGGAGGCCTGGGTCTTCACCACATTACCTGGTCTGACACCCCAAGTCACCGTGAAAAAGTAAAAGTGAAGGTCAAAGGCACATAGAAAGCCAAAGTCCCCTGCTGTGGGATTGACGATGACCTTCCACGTTGAAGGAGCCAGAGAGCATATGGAAGGAAAAGAACATTTTAGTTAAGGGGATAATTTGAGCAAAGTTGGAAGAATATAAATTTTGTGTTCTAATGAGATGGAAGATCAGTCTGCCTAGAGCAAGATATTCAACTATAAATAAAAAATGATAGAGCAGGATACAAAACCAAGTCTTGAATACCAATGCTTTATGGAGTGGGTCACTGTGAAATATGTGTGAGCAGCTGAGAGATGCAGCAGGGAGATTAGGGAGATGCATTTTTAAAATGTGTAATCCACAGAAAAATACCACCCTGATGGTTCAAAGGAAATCGTGTTTCCGGACGGGACAGTGAAACGTCTGAGTGACGGATGTGAAGAGACTGTGTTTCCTGACGGGACAGTCGTCAGGGTGGAAAGGTCAGTATGATGAGAGGTGTGTGCGGGCAACAATTTCTTTAGATTAATTAAACTTTTGTAAAAGAGTAGGTTTCTGTGTAAATGGAATAATAGAAAATAACGTCACTGACCCTGAGGTTCTGTCCATGACCCTGATCCGGTTCCTACATGAATCTAAGCGCTGACTTGCGTTCTCTCCCCTGACCTTGGTCATGCTCCCGTTGCAACCTAAAAACACTTGTGGCCTTCAGCGAGTGTCCCGTCAGCTCCTGTTGGTGGAAGCCCTGGATAGCAGGATATATGGGAACAACAATTTGAGACACGCCGGGAAGGTGCTCCCAGAGCCTGCTACCTCCTGATGCCCTGTGTGTGCAGGGAAGAGAGGTGAGGCCGTCCCCACCCGGCCGGCCGCCCACGGCCCCACAGGTGCTCCTGGCCATCGTGGTAGACTTCCAGTTGTCCCCACAGCACAGTCCGCAGGAGCTCTGCGCCACTTGAACGATTATACATTGCGTTCCCGTCACTCCCCTGCAGTCCCTCCCCTCTCCCTCTGGGTAAAGTTCCCAGCCCTGGACCCCATGGGCAGGCCCCCCGCCCCGTCGTTCTCCCACGCTCTGCTCCTCGCCGGACTGCGTTTCTGTCCACACCCTGAACCCACTGTGTGCCTTCCCTGCTCTGGCCTTTGCACGTTCTCTGCCGTCATCCACCGAGGTCTGGAATGAGGATCCAGAGCCGGCGCTCCTGCCATCCCGCCCCCCCCGCCCTGTGTCGCACGCGGGCAGCGCCGGCCACCATGCGGGCTACCTGACCTGCTTGCTCTCCCCTCCCAGGAACGGCGACAGAACCATTGTGTTCAGCAATGGGCAGAAGGAGATCCAAACGGCTGGGTTCGAGAGGAGGGAATACCCCGATGGTACCGTCAAGACTGTGTACTGCACGGGCTACCGGGAAAGGCGGTCTGCATCCGGGGCCGTGAAGATCAGGTACCAGCCTGGAAACGTCCTCCCGGACAGACGGAGCTGGGCACCCCTCAAAACCCAAGGTTACATGTGACTTCCCAACCCCATTTTTTTTTTTTTTTTTGCTAAAACAGACACAAAAAACCCAATAGTATATTCATGGCCCCAAATGATGGAGAACACCAAAACTTTAGGACACCCCAAGTTGTCCAGAAATTGTGAAGGAAGAGACGCTGCAGACCCCAGGCTTCCTTGGTCAGGACAAGCGGTTAGAGCAACACTAGTTGGAGGACGGGGGGCTCAGCAAAGGATGAACTATGGACGCTTTGCTCATCACAAGAACCAGCTCTACCCTGTGACAGGCCCGGGGGAGGCTCAGCAGGGCCATCCCGTTGGGCCGCCCGGGTTAACAGACACCGACTTCCCTTCCTCTGCATGAAGCTTGCCTTGTGCCTGCCCCCGCCTGACCAATTGCCCTCCATGACCTCTAACCCCCATGACCTTGCCGGGTCAGATAGGAAGAGAGCTCTAGTCTCTCCAAGTGACCCATGGGGCGCCTGGCCAGGGTCAGCATGATGTGGATCTGTCTCGGGGCCGTGGTCCCCTCCTGAGACTCAGGATCTTCTCATCTCAAGGTCAAAACAATGACCAATTATCTGCTTATTTTGTTGTTTTGTAGGCCTCCCAGAGAATAAGCAGCACGTTGGAAGTTAGTGGATTTTTATGCTCACGTGGAGAATCCCCCGAACCCAGGGAAGGAATACCTTCTTGAACAATCTTATCGCAAGATGTGGGTTTATGTATGTGTTTTTGATATGTACTCGTGTTTTTATTTGCTGGACATGAAAGATCTTAGTTTAGTAGCCGTAATTATTTGTCTACTGTGGCCACGTTATGGAGGTCGTCAGTATGTCGGTAATGCTGTTTAAAGGGACCCAGGGACAGCGTGCTCTCAGCTCTGAAGGAAAACAGAGGCACTCCCCGGGCAGCTGACCTGGACGGAGACTTTTCCTTTCCGATGACTATGGCCAGGTCACTTTTCAGATTAACAGGTAAAACTAATCTGTTACGGAAAAGCTGCTTTTGGTTTGGCTAAAAAAAAAAAAAAAAAAAAAAGAACTTGCCAATTTTTTTATGTTGAATCGGCTTATCCTGCGAATTTTCACTAAAGCAAACAGGATGCTGGGGTACGGATAAAAGGAATGGAGCTTCTGTGCATGGACAGCGAGCAGAAACTAATGTATAATTTTGTCAGTAAACGGTGTTCAGGTGCCAGACGACGGCCTGGCTGGCGGTTTCACGACATGTCACCTGCCGAGCTCCTGAGTGGTCTGGTGTATGCAGTCAGGAATCAGAGCAGGATGGATTCAGGGGGCCGTGGGGCGCAGTAGCAATCAGGACATGCTTAGGACAGCACATCCCATGGTGCACCTGCGAGCTGCTGGATCGTATGCCAGTCCAGTTCCTCGCGCCTCCTCAAGGCTCCACGCTGGATGTGCAGTCTGACGACAGGCAGGACATTTGCAAGCAGCATATACACTTAGTTGTTCAAAATGACAGCAGGAAGAACCCCCAGAACAACCATCGTGAGCGTCTAGGGCTGGGAAGGGGGGCCGCTTGGCCCAGGTTCTGAGGGGAAGGGCCTGATGAGGACCCAAAGGCCTCCAGGGGGAAAGGGGGATCCCTACATCATTCTGCTGTGCGAATGACATTCGGGCACCTTTTTTCCCAGGAATGCTGTGGGGCTGGGTGACACAAGACCAGTGACGGATTCCTCTCCTTTGTGGCCTGGTGTCGCCTCCCATGCAGGATCCCCGGGTGCCTCCAAGTGCTCCAGAGGAGAAGGGTCTGGGTTCAGAGCATGGCACCCCAGCTTCAGCACACTCCAGCCCCACTGGTCCCACCTGGCTCTGCCCTCCCACCTGCCAGCGCCCTTTCCCAGCACCCTTCACCGGGACAGGCCCCTTCCCCAGGACCAGCCCCGTCTCATCCAAGGCACCTCTCTTGTTCTTCCGAGGCCTGCACGGCCACCTCTGCTCTAGAAAGACTTCCATGATCCCCACTCCCAGCAGTGGGGCAGGTCCCCCAGTCCTCTGGCCCCCTCACCCCCTAGGATCATCCCCAAATGTGTTCCCACCACCCACTTCCCTGTGTCCCTCCCAGGGGCCTAGAGCAAATTGGGGTGGATACCAGGCCTCCTATGTCTTTGACCCCCCCCAACAGTGACAATAGTACCTGGAGGTTTTGGAAATTAATTCTGGCATAAATGAGTGGGTCCATAACATGACAGGTCATTATAACTCTGATTATTTTGTTGACTCTGAAAATCAGGGGCACTTTGAACGGGGAAGGCTAGTCACAAAAATTAGCACTGTTTAATGCTCAGTTTATTCAATGTAACTTAACTTTGAAACTACTTTTTCTTGAGCATATGAAGATGGATTCTAATTAGATTAGACTTCCTTAAATAACTAAACATTCATTTATAGATTTAGTGCTGCTGATTCTTTAGAGCAAACACCCCATGCAAAAGACAAAACCCAATGATTAATGACCCTACATTTTACACACTCACACCTTAGGCCTATCCTACAGCCTGGATTAATTTTTTATTAGTCCATAATTAATTTTCATGCCTTCTCAGGATTGTTACTATATTCATTTTGTCTTTAAAAATTTATTTATTTATTTGAGAGAGAGCACGTGCACAAGGAGGGGGAGGGGCAGAGGGAGAGTGAGGAGCAGACTCCCTGCTGAGCAGGGAGCCTGATGCAGGACTCGATTCCAGCACCCCGAGATCATGACCTGAGCCAAAGTCAGATGCTTAATCAGCTGGGCCACCCAGGCGTCCCAAGAGCAGCAGGGTTTTGAAGACAGAATCTGGAGAGCAGTGGTGCAGGGAGCTTAGAATCTGGGTGAAGCGCACCTGCTGCTAGGTACCGTCACCAGAGCCTGAAGTGACATTTCTTCTTTAGGTTGTGGATGTATACGGCTTTTCCCAAATATACTTTGTTGTTCTGCTTTACCTTAAACAGTCCCTTTATCCACTAGAATGTTTCCCAAAATGCAACGGGCCAGGTTTTGTGGGGGAAGGGGATGTGTCTCTCCCTCCGGTCCTGTCTGTGGCCCTGAGCTCCGCGCATGCTGTACAGCAGGGACACACATGTGTACCGTGGGGATGCACACCTGTACCTCGGGGATGCACACCTCTACCTTGTGCATGCACACCTATACCTTGGAGACACACACCTATACCGCAGGGACCCACACCTGTACCTTGGGGATGCACACCTGTACCGCGGGGATGCACACCTGTACCTTGTGCATGCACACCTATACCTTGGAGACACACACCTATACTGCAGGGACCCACACCTGTACCTCGGGGACACACACCTATACCACAGGGACCCACACCTGTATCTCGGGGATGCACACCTGTACCTCGGGGACGCACACCTGTACCTCGGGGATGCACGCCTGTACCTCGGGGACGCACACCTGTACCACGGGGACGCACACCTGTACCTCGGGGATGCATACCTGTACCTCGGGGATGCACACCTGTACCTCGGAGACACACACCTGTACCTTGGGGATGCACACTTGTACCGCAGGACACACACCTGTACTGCAGGGATGCACACCTCTACCACTGCAATGTGCATGGTCTCACAGGTGTGCAGGCTGCCAACCACCCAGGTGTTAATCCTAAACCCGAGAGACAGAAATTCTGAGGGGGGCCAAGCTGACTGCCTCCCATGCTATGTGAGCTGACCCTGTTTCTGTTTCACTTCCACTAAACAACCATATTAGTCCGTGTTTTGTTAGTCTGTGTTTTCTTATTTAGAACTCAACACTCAACCTCCTGCTGCTGCTGAAACAAATCTCTACCAACAACAGCTTCTAGTTCCGGAAGTCAGAATTCTGAGATGGGTTGGCAGGGCTGCATCCCAGCTGGGGGCTCTCGGGGAGAACCCGCTCCCTTCCTTCCGCCAGCTTCGACAGCCTGCCTGTCCTTGGCCCGAGGCACCCCTCCTCCACCTCCAGAGCCAGGGATGCAGATTTGTCACATCTCTCTGACTCTGCTTCCGTTACCAGCCCTTTGCTGTGAGCTGACATCTTCACGGGCCCCAGAATTAGGATGTAGATGTCTTCGGGGGGGCAACGCTGCCGACAGCAACGCTCGATGGGAGAATACAGTTCAACAGTATTCTCTCCGTGTGAAAGGCGTATGATGTCCTCACTGTCTGGATTCCTACACAAGTTTCTGATAAAGTGTGGTGAATCTATGAGGCTAAAAACGTCCTTAGCTCTGTCACTCGCTTGGTGGTCACCTATGTGTAGTGAGAGGCTCCGTGCCTTCCCTGTCCCTTAGCAGCTAGGCTTCTGCTGATGGCACCATGTGCACAGTGTCAGGATTTGCTGCTGGATGCTGTCCTCCCAGCAGCTGGGTTTCCTGCCCAGAGCCCACTACCTCCTAGCGACACCCCAGCACTGCTGAAACAGCCCTCAGCCTTCCACACGCTCACCCGCACCTGGGCTTCACTGACCCTCGGCCACTTGTACCCCTGCATGGACCCATCGCCCCAATCCTGTCTCCTCTTGCCAGCGACTTTCTCCGCGGGATGTGCTCCAAGGATCTTCTTGTTGTTATTTATACAATCTTTGTTTTATTTTATCTTATTGGAATTGTTAGCCAACATATAGTACATCATTTGTTTCAGAGGTAGTGTTCAGTGATTCATCAGTTGCATAGAACACCCAGTGCTCATCACATCCCGTGCCCTCCTTAATGCCCACCCCCCAGTTCCCCCTCCCCCCCCTCCCTCCCCTCCAGCAACCCTCAGTTTGGTTTCTAGAGTTAAGAGTCTCTCGTGGTTTGTCTCCCTCTCTGATTTCTTCCCATTCAGTTTTCCCTCCCTTCCCCTGTGATCCTCTGTGCTGTTTCTTAGGTTCCACGTATGAGTGAAACCACATGATAACCGTCTTTCTCTGCTTGACTTATTTCTCTCCAGGGTTCTCAGGAACAAAAATACTCTCTCTCCTGAGAGACCTTCCTTGACATCACAAAGTACATCAGTAAATCTTGCATATCCCAAACCACACGGTCTGCCAATGTGTGCATGTTTCCAGATCTTGAAAATGAGAAATTAAAAACATAATCTGCAGAACACCAATACAGCAATTTGAAATGTGATTCCAGCATATTTATTTCCTTTATTTTGTTTGGATATATAGATTTTATTTTTTTTTTAAAGAAAAACTGACGAGGTGTTTGGTTAAATTAAAGGCAAGATAGATACTGAACCTTCCAGTGGGAATGTCGGGTCCCAGCCACTGGCTGAAGGCGGCGGTCTCGCGTGGCCCGGGAGCCCCAGCCCAGGAGCACTGGGGACCTGGGTCTGCTTCCCAGAGGCCAGTCAGCAGAGACCTATGTGAAAATGCTTGGAAAAACAAAATAAAACAGAAACATCTCTACAAACCTGAAAAAGGTCCCCATCAGCCTTGAAGGTGTCCAGGTTTTGTAGGAAGTACAGACCTGATGATAGAATATTCACTAAAACCAACCCCAAATCAGTTTTTTAATGAAAATAATATTTTAGAACTTAAATTTTTAATGAAAATTTTATTTTAGAACTTAAATTTCTTGTAAATGAATCGTGTCCTTTATTTTGGGAAGCCGCACCGGAGAGGAGGAAGGGGGCACCCCCTCTTTGTGACACCTGTGTTCTTTCCCGCCGCACAAGCTAGCCTGCTGACCTCTTGCTGTCGGCCCTCGGAAAGCTCTGGTGTCTTTGCTTATTAACAGGCGCAGTCTGCTTGTTTAGGCTTCGGAGCCCTTCCGTGTTTCTGCAAGGTGGCAGCGCCGCAGAGCCAGGGGCCGGGCCAGCCACCAGAGCCGTGCCCAGAGCCAGGGGCCCCACGGCCAGCCCCACTGCCCAGGACCCTCAGCGCCAGATTCCTCCCAGTTTGCCAGCTCAGAAGTGGGAAGCGGGGGTGACTACGAGGGTCTCCGGAATGCCCATTCACCCCAGTTAAGGCACTGATCTGTTCTGCACGCAGCTCCGGGTCGACAGACACCCGTCACAATATGCCAATGGCTAGGAAGGCCCGGCTCTGAGCTCCCCACACACTCACACTCCCGGGGTTGGGGGTCTGCTGGGCTCCTCCTCCTCCCGAAGCCCAGGGCCGTCCTCCGGGAGCGGCTGTGGGTGAACATGGCGCAGAGCACCCGAGGTATAGGAGGGTCCAGGAAGCTCCAGGAGGCCAGACCTCTTGTGTAGCCCTGACTGGTGCCGAAAGCCGCTGCTTGTCTGTGTTCTTCCTGTCCTATCCGGTCCTGACCAAGGGTGGAATCCTAGGCCGACGCTTCTGTAACTTTCTCCTGCAGCAGATGCTACCCAACATCTGGTGTTCACCTGTGGCCTCAGGGCGCATCGAGGCCTCAGGGACTACTCCAGGCCTCAGTTTCCCTGCAACTCCCCACCCTTCCATTTTCACAGGCGAACGCTGCCTGTGTCTGCCGAGCACCCCTTCTTCCGAGAACTGTACCTCCACGCTTTCCTCAAGGGAAATCTTCCTTCTGCTCTCCAGGGGCTCTGGGGGGCCCCCAGGGGTGCACCCGACCCCCCGTTCCCTGGGATAAGGGGCACCCATGTGACCTAGGCCTGCCCTGTCACCCCCCCACTGGACAATGTGGGTCAGGGTCTTTTTCACAGGAGGAAAGAGAGAGAAGGTATTTCTTTACCCTCTGACCCTCAAACGAGATGTCAGACTGAACCTAAAAGAGACACACAGGAAAGCAGCATGTAGCTGTAGGAGGAGTGAGCCGACTGAGAGGGGAGCCGGGCCAGGGGAGGGCAGAGTCCAGCAGGGAGCGCAGGGGCCCCATCCCTCCCTGCCCGAGCCAGCAACCCTCCTTTATCCCTCAGCTAGCTCGTCTAATGCATCGTCCCCCTGCAGAGTCCCCTGGGAAACTAACCCTCGGGGAGATTGTATCGGACAGTGATTTCAGATGGTAACCTGCCTGGGAACATCAGCATCTCAGGATGCTGAGGATGCGGGGATGTGGCTTACCTCCCACTGTCCCTTCCTGACAGGGTCCACCCTGCAGGGGAGCGGAGATGCCCTGGACGAGCCTCCTCCGCAGGGGGCTGTGCCATCAGCACACACATTTGCAGGGGGACATGGGGAGTCTGCTCAACAGACAGGAAGAGTCTCAAAGGTCAAGTTTTGAAGATCGTGCGGGGGGCCGCCCTCCTTCTGCCCGTGTCCACCGGACCCCCTGCCTGTCTCTGAGGGTGGCGGCGGCAGCACGGCTCTGAGCCCTGCCTGTGGATCTGTCTCACGCTGGCCGGCCGCTGTGCACCTGCCACCTGCCTCCCCCGGCGGTCCCACCACTTCCTGCTCAGGCTCCGCCCACTCAGGGGGCAGGCGTGGTGGGTGGGGGCCATGCTCCCCCCACTGCTTTCCAGCCCAGGGTGACCTCAGTGTCAGTGAGCACACTTCTAGCCTCCTCATTCCTTCCAGAAGGTTCTCAGTGTGACTTCCTGTGTCCCCTGCTGTCGGTTTCTTCCAACCTCGAGTCCAGGGGAGATAGAATGCAGTTTGGAAATGAAGTAAGAACCTTCCCCTTCAACTGTAAGACGCTTCCAGCTCCCTGGGAGATTTCTCAGAATCAGTGATCCCATCCACGTCCCAGCTCCTTTACTTACATTTTCCTTGAGCTGCTCCTCTCCTGGTCCTCTGCTCGGAGAGTCGTCTTGGTTCTTTGTGTCCACTTGCATTGTCAGCTACTTTAGCGCCCAGTTTGGAGTATGAGGCAAACCCGACCCACAAATCCTCAAAGCCAGGAAACCCAACACCCTATTTTTTCTTGGGGTCCCTAGTGGTACTGCCTTCTTTCTCCCCTCTGTGACTCCTCACGCTTGTCTATTTGTACAGGCCAACGTGTTCAGTGGTACTTAGTGAAGGTGTGAGGAAACGTACGCCTATTCCATTTTCCCCAGAAGTGAAAGTCCAAGGATTTTTTGGAAGAACTACCACATCTCCTGGAGGATTGTCTGGACTCTGTAGTTTTGACCTTTCTACCTCAGCTAGACTGCACTCATGTTTTCCCTCCATGTCCTTTACACAACTGTGCACCTGCATGCAAATTCCATGCACAGACAGTTTCCTGGTGCGTTTGAGGTTTACCTTACTCCACTATGATTTGTGTTTAATTGGCCCACATTTTGCCATTTGAGAGATAATACTGCCCAGACTTTGCATGTTTTTCCTGACAGACGGCCCAAGGCTATTGCTGTAAAACTTCAAATGCTCCAATAAAATCATCTATCCTTAATGGCACAAGCTTCACTCCTCTCTGCAACGTTCATCCTCCCAGCTGAGTCATTAAAACCTGGCTCATGATGAAGGAGTGAGTATTGGAAGACACGGAGAGAGTGAGAGCTAATCTCTGGTTTTCCAGCGATGCCAGCCTCATGGTTTGGTCTTAGAGTGCACCTCAATGTCTGTGGAAAAGAACCTTTTCTTCATTTGCCAAATACTATAAAGTGGAAAACTGATGTAAAAGATCAGAACAATCCTGATGCACTTACATTCCCACTCGACTCCTTTAAATGTTTCCTGGAACAAGACTGGGAGCAAATAAATGGACTTATGCATGAAACCAGGCAATGAACAAAATAGGCATTACAGCCTCATGTTGAGAGTGCTGGATTTTTTCTCTCCCCCTTTCTTTCTGAACCATTCAGATCAAGCACTAGAATTTCGTTAGCCATTGAGGGCACCTGCAGGTGCAATTGCAGTATGTATTCATACGCTGGTACTGAGAGCAATCACTCCCTGCATTCTCTTTCTATGGTTGCATCACCTGCTGTGCGTCCTGCGTCCCCAGTCTATGTTTTGTCCTGCCTGTCTTAACTTGTGCTTTAACTTTTTCATTGTGGGAAAATAAGCATAACGTGAAATTTCCCATTAGTGACATTTGGCACATTCATTCATGGTGATGTGCAACCATCACCAGAACATTCTTGTCTTCCAAAAGGAAAGCCCCTATCCACTCGCGGTCGCTCTCCCATCCCCCACCCCGGGCCCTGCAAACACCAGTCTGCACTGTGTCTGCGGATTTGCCGACTCCAGACGTCGGCATGGAATCCTGCAACATGTGGCTTCTTGTGTCTGGCCTTTTTTCACTCAGCATAATGTTTTCAAGTAAATGCTGGAGACTTTGTGTTTTAGGACTCGTCAGTGTTTTCTTATGAGGCAGGAATGGTAACATGGCTGCATCTGGAAGGTTCTGAGGTCACATGCTGGATGGTAACCTATCAGTGAGGGGACAAACCCAGAGGGGGCCACCTTTTGAATATGGTTGATGGGTGTCCCCAGTGGGAAGCTATGTGGCACAGTGTCTGAGTTAGGGCCCAGGACCTAGGACTGAGAGAGTCATTTGGGTATTTTGGGGGGAGGTTTTCAGCAATTGGCCTCACCCCGGATGACTGTTTAATCATTAAGTTGACAAAAATAATTTTGAACAAAAAAATGGTGTGTTAAAAAACAAAAAAGTTAACCCTTGGTCTTTTTTTGTATTGTTCTCACATAAGAGTCCTTAAAAATGTTCTAATAATCTTTTCTTTTCATGTTCAAATAAGTGCACTGTATAATTGTACTAAAGCATTTCCAAGTGCAGGCAAGAGCCTGGGTGGTATTCTCCCAAGAAATCGGAGCAAACAAACCACTCATGTCATATAATTTAATCACCGCCTGAACGTGTCCAAATTTGCAGAGTCGCTATATTTACATACGCAGCCACTCAGGGGTCCCAGTGACGTGGTCGATGTGCTGCATGCAGAGGTCAAGGGCTGAGCCATTGCTGTCCCTGGCAAAGGAATCCCTGGTTTCCCCGAAACCCTTTCACCTTCTCTTTGCTCCCTTTTCCACCAGGTGGGGATGTTGCTTATTCATTAGTTTCTGGAGCTCCTGGATTATTCTTTGGACATTTAATCCATTCCTAGAAGCTCCAAAAGTAGCTTCATTGAAAGGAAAAATGAGCACAAAGTTCCCTGCTTGGAGATCTGGCACCTTGCTGTTGTCCGAGGGGACGCACAGGGAGATGCTGGTCTTGCCCACACACGACTGAATGAGTGACATGAATGGAAAGAGCGTCTTATGGGTCAGGTGTCTACCCTTTAGCTTTGGCTTGGTTTTGGGGGGTTCTTTTGTTGACCGAAGTAGGTCCTTCTTCCTGCTTGTCATTTCCCTTGGCTGGGAGGCATGTTTGTTTTCAGGGCGTGTTTTTACGGCTTTCTTCACAGCAGATTCATCCTTAAATGTCTTACCTGTGAGCTGTGAAAGGGACTCACGGGACAGAGTGCTACAAGCCTTGCTGAGTCTCCCCGCGTCCGGCTTGGCGAGGGAGACGCTGCGGCTCCCCTCAACACTGTCACGACATCTGGCCTCTCGTTTCTTAGACCCTGCAAGTAAATCAGCTCAGTGGTGTCATGGATAAGCTTCCTCTTCACTGATACGTCCGCCGAACAATCTACGGACAGGGCGGGGCTGAAGTTGACCTCTAGAAGCCACGGTTTCAAGTTTTCATCAATCAAAATGTCAAATCCAGAGAGCTCAAAGCAGTTGGTCGCGAAGGGGACCGAGGGAGCAACGGCGAGCACCGTGAGAATAACCATGTGGTTGATTTTCTGCCACAAAAGCAGATCGTCCACATCCCAACTGCGAAGGTAGGAGAAGAATCTGCTGAGGGTCCACTTGCAGCCGTGACCAATCACTTCTTTGATTTTCTCATACGAGACCCCAGATTTATTGATGCTGCTGTTGGCCAAATGGGCATAATTTTTCTGCAGATTACTGAGGTCAGACTTTTCCGTGGCAAACCGCACTAGCCCTTCTTGATCAATATAAATGGTCAAAGGCTTAAAGCCGGTGACACAAACGTAGATGCGGAGGTCACATTTCTATCTGCCCACAAGGGGAGGGTTGCAGATATAGTTCTGTACTACGTATGTATCATCAAAGATTAAGTCTTTAATGTCACTGAAAATGATGACGCCCCGCCCGCGAGAGAGTTTGGCAGGCTTGCAAATCCAGTAGCTGTGCTTGGCGCCCAGCACGTGCTTCTCCCTAAAGTACTCGGCCACAAACTTGTTGTAGTCCTTGGGCATGATGAACGTCAGGGGGATGAACTCGTACAGGGGCGGGCCGTACATCTTCTTCATGTGCTTCAGGTGTGTGGCCAGATGGTCCTTCCTGGTGAGCTTGGTGGTGCCCGGGTGGTGGTTGAGGTGTTGCCACGGCTTGATGTTGCTGCGCTCGGTCATCCAGAAGGAGGAGGTCCTCCAGTACAGGTTCCAGTCCTCCACGTTCTGCTCTCCTTTATCGAACTTGTCCCACTCACGCTCCAGCAGGACACTCTGCACCACTTCGGGTGTGCTGTCATCAACGCGAAATACCGGCGGCTTCAGGATGGGCCCCGGAGCTTTGTCCTCTGCCATGAAATATGGTTTTCTTTTCTAAAAATTGATGATTGGAAATGCGTTAGCAGGTGGGCAGGGGGGATCGCCATCAAGAGGAGCTTACCCATAAAAGATTCCACGTCCTATGGCCAGTCTTTTGGTCTGTGCCTTCCCGCACATCAGACGGCCTCACCAGATACCCACTTCTCTGCTCCCTCTGCAAAAACAGACCCAGCCCTCCCTGTGCAGTCTGTCTCTCCAGACATTACCTGCCTATTTCTCCCTTTTAGAGACATGTTCAAAGTGTTGGCAGTTCACCATCAATACTCCTGAGGGCTACTCTGCCCTAGGGCTGGAGGTGCGGTGAATCCTGTTGGCCTAAACCAGGAACATTCTTTAGAAAAAGCAGATGTCAAGTTGTCTATAGTTAGATGAATTTGGACATGCAAAAGCATGAAACACTGTTGTTAATATGATTAGCAGGGGTCTTATTGGCCCAAGAAGCTTAAGGAGTTTGGATCAGACACCTGTGATGGCCACCAGTAACTCCCCCATATCCCTAGTGGTCAGAGGCTGGGTTCCCTCAAACACATGGTAACTTGCAAGAAAAATAGTTAAGAAAAATCTTAGTTTTTAAGACTTTCACATTCTGTGAAAACAAAGATCATGTGAAGATTGTGCCTCGTGGTTTGCAAGATACACAGAAAGTGCATATTTGGCATTTTTCTGAAACTTCCAAGAAAGAAAATAAGATAGCTTTTGAGAGAATCAAAACTGATGATGAGGCATGGCATTTCCTTATGACCTGGGGGAGGCAGGGTGACAAAGTCAAAACCTGTTGGGGGGGATGTTGGTATTCCAAAGTCCTAAAACAACGTGCTCACCAAAAATTCCAAGTTCAGGCAATTTGGACTTGTTTCTTTGATAATGTTAGTACTGCTGGTGCACAATTTATCATTTAAGGAGGCATACAGAGCTTATTTTGGTGGAAATTCTGTGGTGTTTGGGAGATTCTGATTGATGCCACAAGAGGAAATTTTGGTACTGCATTTTCAGTGAAGTCAGTCTGGCCAGAGCGAAAGTGGTCAGGAAGGACAGAGGGAGGGACAGAGGTCCAGCTTGCTCACTCACCTTCTTCTCCAGGTTTGAAATTGGGCAGAGTCAAGGAGTGAAGGAGACACCTTGTTCCCAGAGACCTTGTTTCCGAATCTGAAGCCAACCACAGAGTATGGCTGGCCTCTGATCCCGAGGCTGCTAACAGGCTGGGCAGTGGCTCCAAAACTGTGTCCAAAAGAGCTGTGAACACAAGCAGATGAATGAGCACCTTGTCAGTGCTGTTACTGCTATGACCAGGAGGAGCACGCAGAATTTACAGATCTGGCACGGTGATTGAGAAATTCAATCTTTGCAATTTACAGCAATGTTTTCAAACTATGTTTGACGACGTTAACAGGTATTACAGCAGAGACAGTGTGTGTGTGGGCACGCATGTGTGCCGGGGGGAGGGGAAGAAGATTCAGAGTCACAGTAATTACGGAAGCTGGATGAAACACGGTTGAAAGTGTTTTTTTCTCTTTCTAGCTCCAAGAAATATGCCGTCTTTCCCAAGCTTGTTTGATCATGAAACCCTCTTAAAATTTCTATTCTGTCAGCTACCATTTCACAAAAGCTGTGTGGGAAATATTGAGTCAGACAAACCAGATTGAATGGCACCCGTCCACCCTCCCAGCCTTGGAAATAAGCCTATCAAGAGGAGACAGTGTGGTGTTCTGGCTAGAGCCTTGTTTCGTGGGGGGTCAGCACTCAGTGCCTCTAGGAGCCTGGCTTTCTCCCAGCTCCGCGGGTCAGTGCACAAGGACAGACCAGGAGATTCGGCTCTTGAGGGCGGTCTGCAAACCTGGGTTTCCTCTCACCACGGAACCAAGAAAGCCAGTCAGGTGTCCTGTTGAGAGGTGAAGAACATGGTCTGATGAGGCTGTGGATACTTACTAGGGCCGCTTATGCAGCCATTGGCCCTGGATCCTTTTTCAGCTGAGTATCATCTTCCTGTTAAAATTTCGTTGAGAAACCAAATGCATCATTACGAGTTTTCTCTGCTCAATAAGACTTCGTCTGGAGAGCTACTGAAATTTCTTTCATCCTGCCTCTTTCAGACTTACCGATGCTCACAGCAGCAGATAGTTCTGTCTGATTGAGGAAAGCATGTGGTGGGGGGAGTAGGTGTAGGGATGGCAAATGGTCAGGGACCAATTCGGAAGCCCTCCCCAGGAGGAGAATGTCAGGACTGAGTCTCTGGCAGGAAGAGGCCACTGTGGGGGAGATGACACGGGTGGTGATGACCGAGTGGGGAGGAGCCAGCAGAGGACCGTTCCCGTGGCAAGGCATACCATCGGGGCCCGCACACAGCATTACGTGGTGCTGCTGGTGGTTATAAAGGAGGAAGTGCTCGTTTTAAGGGGAGTGAAGATGTTCTCGTAACTAGATGAGGCAGCGACACGTGCCTGTGGGGCAAAGGCTCTCTGCTGGAGGAAACTGGACAAAACCTCCTCGGCGTGCTCGTGGGTGCTGGAGCCACACAGCCTGGGCCCCTTTCCGGAGTGGGGCAGCCGAGCCGACAGTCACCCTTGTCTCATCTCGGAAGAGACTGTCTGTCTTCCTCGTGGGTAAAAGTGAAGTTATCCATGGAGATTTTCATAATCACCCATTTTCTTCCTTGGTCTGAGCTGAGGGAAAATAAATCCTCTAGGAAGGAGGAAGGTGACAAGGTGACGCCACTCATGGTCACGGCAGGACCAGCCACGGGTAGGCTCTAGCTCCGGGTGTGGCCACGTGGTCCATGGACATAGAAGGAGCACCCATGAAGCGCACGTGTCTTTCCCCTGTGTTATGGTGTCCAGAGGCTGGCCTCCTGCTGCTGAAGGAGGAGGGGAGGGAGGAGCAGAGGGGGGAGCAGATGGGGAGGTGAAGGGGGAAGTGAGGGAGGAGGGGAGGGAGGAGGGGAGGACTATCAAAGCCCGGCAGAGGGTTAGACGTGCCCCCTACGCGGGGTGATCAGCACCAAGGTTGTCCGTGTCAGTGGGGTGGTGGCTGCTGGTGTCCCTGTCCTTCATATGTTTTGTATGATTAAATACCACGTGACCTTTTTAGGAGAAGGAGCAAGTGGCCCCAGAGGGTCCGGGCCTGGGTGGTTCTGGACGGAAGCCAGGGGGCCCTGCAGAGGAGGCAAGAAACACCCACGAGCACCACTGGGGTGCACGACCTTCGGAGGAGCCAAGAGTGAGGGGCCCCCGGCGGTGGGGCTCCGGGTCGCGGGCGGGGTCAGGTTGTGTGCGCTGCCGTGAAGCAGCATCACATGCCTCTACAGTTGTGAGGGAAGGAGGCTTTGCGTCTAAGTACCGTGCGGGTCTGACCCTTTCTGTGCTGGCCCCGAGAGTAACGCTCGTTTACCCCGAGGAGCCAGCCGGCTGGACTCGGATGTCGGCAGGATGTGACTGGGACGGAGTCCACACCCCCGTGCTCCGGGCGCACCCGCAGGGGGCCTGCTGGGGCTGCCGGCGGCCCGTCCGGTCCAGTGAGCGCGGGGTCTGCGTGTCTGCGCTCCCAAGGGGAGGTTGGGGTGCGGGGTCGCCAGGTGAGTCTCCCCCTTTCCAGGGGCTGCAGGCCAGCATTGGGACCCCTTAAAATGGAAAAAAAAAAAAAGAGCACTTCCTCCTTTATACCCACTGACATGGCCATCCGTCCGCCTCACCCACCGAAACACGAGTTAAACCTCAGGGCTGCTTTTTAATCCCTGTTCCCGAATTGGGTGCCCTGTCTGTTGGTGGAATAAATGAATGAACCAGCAGACCAGTGCGGGGTTGGGGCAGGGGAGGACATGGGGGTTACATTTTTTTCCTGTAAATTAGAGGAATACAAGATGTCATACATTTTTCCTTCATTTCAGCTGCAGGTTCATAACACTGAGCACAGATAGACATAGGATTCCTACTCCATTGCTCATTTCTGCCCAAGATTTCCTCTCCTTTTTTTTATAACATTATAACATCTCATTTATCTAGGTCAGAAGCCAAGAGGTTCATGGCTAATTTACATTTCTCAGTCTTGAACCCAAAATTCAGTGGAAATTTCTATTCCCAATTAAAATAGACATCACCAAACCTGAAATTGTACCGAATAAACACTAGACCTCTCCACCTTTTCTCCAAGTGCTTGAATCAGTAACTATATGTTTATTTGGGTGTTTGGACTTGTAAGACTGTGACACATAGGCTGTACCAGTGGAAAATTGAAATGACCGCTATTACAAGGAAATTAATTAAAGATAAAATAACTTCTATAATTAAGGCAGTGCTGGGTATTTTATTTGCACAGGCAGAGAGCCCGGGCTATTTCCCAAAGGCATCAATTTATATTAATTGACATCTATAATAAACAATTAAAATATTAACTTGGGCTATACTAAGATTTAAAAGGCAAAGTAATGTGTCATGCCAAGTATCATATGCAAACACACATGCATAACATGAAAACAGAATATGACATGTTAATTATTTTAAAATACGTGCCATTCATCCAGGATGGAAGCGGAGGTCCTGGTCAACCTAACGGCTGTGTTTCTAAACCGGAACGTAGCTGGAGCTCCCGTTGGAAGAGCTCTCAGGGACCACAGACTTTCTCCTGAAAAGAGGCCATTAAATATTCTCTTCCAGCTTGAAAACACGTTATTTGGAATACAGTTCTCAGCCTCCTTGGGCAGTCACACGGACATATCACGATTGGCCCAGAAACGTGTCCAAGTAATAATAATTACTAACAATAGGTACTCTCCGCCAGTGCACTACAAAGACATTATTATCTATACACAGTCATGTCGATAGAGTCGTGATCTCCCGCCTGCATTTCCACATGCTCTTTCCATGGGATGCATGTGGCAGGTGCACGGCCACAGACCCGAGGACACTGGAAACAGCCCGTCGGCCAATGAGCCTTGACAGATGAAGAGTCCCCGTGAGGCATTCCAAGCTAAGGTCAACCTCCACGTAATAACTTCCAGAAGGAAACCAGAACGCACAGAGCTACTCCCTGAAGGGAGGGGCATACCCTGGCCCGCAGGACGAAGTTCATGTGCTTTCACCTCCGTCAGGGGAGGGACGGTCTGTGACTGGGAACGTTGCTGGAACATTCCCAGGCTCAAAGGCCTCGTCTGGGTGGAGAACACAGCACACGCTGGGACAGAACGACTGTCTGACACCGTGTGTGAAGCAGGAGCAAGTAAAGGCCCAGAGAAGCTGGTGACGCGCAGCCGAAGACCCACGTCTCAGGGCAGGCCATGCTCTCGTGGCTTCCTTGGCTGTGACTCAGCCGATGTCACACTCAGCTTCGGAGTAGCTGTAGCCTGATGCTGAGAAGCTGCGCCCAAACGTCTGTTTGGGTCGTTATTATAATCAAGGGGCTTAATGATCTCCTAGAGCTGGGTCAGCCCCGGTCACGCTCTGTCCTGGCTCATTCTTTCCCTTGCCGTGAGGGTACTCCCGGGCACTCGGGGCCCTGTTGCCATCGCTGAGGGCCCACTGCTTCTCCTGGAAGACTGATTCCTGAGCGGGAATTCTCTGGGAGGGGCTATCTCCCTTCCAGCCTGGGACCCCGAGAAAGAGTCGGGCACCAGGGCGCCCATGCTCTCTACGCACATCTCCTTTTCAGCTCGTCCACTCCTGTAGGACGAACAACCCCAGGCCACTTCTGTGTGAACTGGGATCCAGCTACAGTGTTAAACCAGGCGACCGAGTGCCACGAATGTCAGTTGTCACTGGACTGAGACGGGAAATATTTGGGGGTCAAGGAGAGGGATCCTCCTTGGATGACCCTGAAACCAGACGCTGCAAGAGCAAACACAGATTCCACCCATGCAGAGAACCCGTTTCTTAAAGAACCTCAGTCCATGTGTTCCCCAGTGGTTCTGTTTACATCGTATGCGTACAGATGAAAGGAATAAAACCACGCTTACTTCTATAAAAAGGTCTCTACTTTCAGAACCTCAACCATTAATTTCAAAAGCATCTGCCCTGCCTTCATTGGAATTACTGGGGATTTGCTATATGCAGCCTTGATGTTCATGTGTCCCGTGTGGAAACATGGTTTCGTTAACTTGTTTCGCTGTGCACAGTCTTGCCTTCAGCCCTACCGCAAATATATAAGAAGACACGCCGTCCTGCCGTGCACACAACGGACACGTCACACCGCTCATGTGCTGTTCACACATGCAAAGCACTCTGTTTATATTAGCTAGGGACAGGCGGTGGCTGTGGGCTCCTGTGTAGTTCTAGGGGGCGAAGCCAGGTGCTGGAGGAGGGACCGTCCCCCACAACCATTTTTTTTTTTTTGGAAACGCGTTGTTATTAACTTAAACTCAGAACAATTTTTAATTATTCTAAATCGGAGCCCATGCACACTATTTTTTGCATTGATGATAGGCTCTATTTTATCGCTAAAGCCATCAGTTCCCCGAGGGAAAGGCCACGTCCGATAACGCCTTACCCCAGACCCCCGAGCCGTGCATCCATCTGCAGGAAGCACCAGTGGAACAGAACTGACTCAAAGAGAAAATGTCCATCTTCCCAGGACTTGCAGAGCTGAATTTGCCCCTTGGCAAACTGCATATAAGAAGGTGGTGGCTTTTTGTTTTTTTGTTTTGTACTGGAAAGCCTTCAAAATGTCCCGTCTACGTCTGAAGGCCACACTTCTTAGCGTGGCATTCAAGGCCTTCCCATGAGTCCTCAGCCTCTGTTCAGTGGAACACACCTCCTGGCCCCGACTTCCCAGCTCAGCACGTGAGGGTCGTGAGCCCGGTGTCCGGCACCAGGCCCTTGCTGTGGCCTCCGTGCATCCCTACTTCATGCGCCCCCTTAGCCCCCTTTTCTGGGGCCCACGCCCTTCACACTCACCTTAGGGAAAAACTCCCCCTACGTTGCAGTACCAGGCGGCGTCTTGCTCTGCCCTGAAGCTGTGGCATCCGTCAGATCTTAGAAAACACAGGCTGCTTGGGATGTTCGGCCTGACCGCCCCCTCTCACCATGGGGTGCCGCTGAGTTCCCTCCTTCGCCCACTTGTCACAGAATGTGCTTACCCTGTCTGTCCCCTTGCTGCAGATGCGCACACAGTAGGCAGTCTATGTGTTTTCTGGACTGTTGAAGCAATGCAACCCAGCTAGGGACGGAGGGCTTTTCCTCCTGAGTCATACGAAGTCTGGAGCGCAGGGGCCCCCTGGTCAGAACGCACGCTGGCCATTCCTGGCAGCCCTGGCCCCCTGCGCTCTCCGGGAGGGGCAGGTCCTGGGATGGAGGCACACACTGGGGGCCCCTCCAGTGCTGGGTGTGACTTCCATGCACTTGTCCCTGAGCCCGGCTTGGGGTGAATGATTCCAAGGGGGTCTGGGGTCCGCCTTTAGCCGCTGCAGAGCCCAGCTGAAGGGGCAGAACTGGAAGGACCCATGCTGCACTCAGTGTTGCAAACCCGCTCTCCTCACAAAGGGGGGCACGTATCGTCTCAGAGGCAGGGGCTGAGGGCTTCAGAAGCCCTTCACATATGGACCCAGGCTCCATTTGCCTCTCCTCCGTCTTCCTCCCGAGGATCTTCTTCCTTCTGTGGGGACCACATTCAGGCCAGGGCTCCGTGGCCCCTGTCAGCTGCAGTTTGCAGAGGGGCTCGGGGCATATGACAGATGAACAAGAAGAGGCGGGTGGGCTCCTCTGGGGGGCTACCTGGGATCTCCTTGTGCTTTTCCCTGGTGGGATCTCAAAACAGATCATCTCCACACAAAAACAGTTGAGTTTGCAAAATGAATCTTTGTTTCCTTAAGCCAAGTTTATACCTGAGCTCCCAGTCGGCACCATCCTTCCTGTGAGGCTGTGCGCTTCCCCCATGCCTTGTTCTGTCCCCCGGCGCCTGCACACCACACCTGTGGACTTTGGGAGGACACCAAAGAAAATCTGCCCAACATTTCAAGGCGAGGTACCTTGCCGTAGGATCTTTGTACTCGGCTCACTCAGGCTCCGGCATCTTATTACTCTGTTGATTAATGTTTGATGTTTCGATGCCAAGTGTTTAATTACAGACACTGTTACACCCTTGTAGGACCAATAAATTCCTTCACGTGATATAAAAAACTGCACAACAGAACAGCCAGAGATGTGTCAGGCGAAGGGAAATGCTGCAGATTTCCTAATTAGCAAACCAAGAATAAAAGTAATTCATTGTCTGTAGCCTACAAGGCATTTTTCTTTTCTGGTTTGACATGTTCATTCGTAGTTAATTACTTACTGTTACTTGCAGCCATACGTGCCGGTAAATAATGTAAAAACAGAGTAATGGAGTCCTTCCCCCAGTTGTCTTCACGAGCATCAGATGATGGAGGGTTTGGCCATGATTTTGAGAGATGCACAGAGACAGGGTTGGCATCCAGACACAAGTAAGAATATCTGGGCCAAAATCATGTAGGTTAGAGATCTACACATTCTGAATTTGTTCAGTAGTTTAAAATTTTCCCCTTCAATTCGAGATGTTCACATGAGCTTCCAAGACATCCAAGACTGCCGGTAACTCTCTGAGAAAGGGGGGCAGGATGTCAAGATCCAAGGACATTCGATGGGCATGCAAATAGTAAAGAAGAATCAGGGCACACTTCCTGGATGGAACGTGTTGGCTTCGTCCAAAATGAGCATTCTTTCCCACATTCTTCCTCTGGGTGGTTCCTCTGAATGTCTCAGTGGGCTCAGTTCCCCAAGGCTCGGCGTCTCCTAGTGGTTGACCACACAGACTCTGGAGCTTGGGCTCAGATGATGGAACCAGAGGTGCACTCACGCGCTCGGCCGTGCCTCTCCCGAACCACTTGCTCCTCTACTCCAGGCTGGAGCCAACAGCTTTGGGGTTCGCGATCCGTGGCTCTGGAACCTCATGAGTGTCCATGTAATCTCACCTTGAAGTGCGAATGCTCCTTGTCCAGGATGCACTTACCTCTTCTGGTAGGATCCAGAGGAAGTTGGGCTCATTATGATGTTTAATTCTAGAACTTTGGTGGAGTACGTGAAAACACTGAACCAATATGTAGAATTTTCACTTTTTTTTAATACCTCGGTCCTACCCACCAAATGAGCACCGAAACTCATACCCTAGGTGGTTGATGGTAAAAGAATCCCCTCTACCATCTACTGAACCCAAGGGAGAGCGATGTGAAAAACAGCACAATCTACAGGAACTTGGAAATCTTTTCTGCCCCTGAAGATCTTTCCAACCAGTGACCAAGCTCTTGACACTTACCAGTTAAGATTCACCGAAAACTACACCAAGCATAGCACTTGGTTCACTGGAAGGAGGGTGAATGTTTATTGAGAATGGATTTTTATTGATTACCAGGATCACTTCAGTATTCCTTGAAGGACATTTACAAACATAATACTTTTACAATAAAAGCATAATCAAGAGAGAAGTACAAATAATTAAGAACAAAAAAAGAATCGATGGTTTTGGAAGTTGTTGCCCTTAGAGGAAGCCATAGCCTGGGTCCCATGGGGCTCCATGCAGGTGTTCTGTTTCCTGGTCTGGAGGTTGGTTATATGGATGTATTCAGTTTGTGAAATTTTATCAAGCTGTACTCGTGCAATTATACATTTCCTATCTTTATTTTACAATTCAATAGAAAGCTCCAAAAAATTAAGTGCATATATCTCAGTTGAAGAATAGCATCTGGAGTTACTCTCATCAGCTACCTTTTTAGTAGAAAAACGACCAGGAGTTAAGAAATCAAGTTCTGTCCCATTTCTTCAACTAACCATCTCTGTGACATTAATCTTACTGACTATTCTTGCTTTTCTCATCATGATCCTGTAAGGAATCTGAACTAGAATAATCTTAATGCCCAACATTTCAGCCGCTTAATGATCCTCGACCCACACCTCAGACTCCAGCCACTGCCTTGTTTCCAGAGAAACCTTCCGTGAAGGGCTGGAAATCCTCCCTGAATCCACTTCTCTCCTCTTTTTGAGACTCTTTGCCCAAGTCTTCATCTCCAAGATGCCACTGAGCTGCTCTGGCCACAGACACAGGGGACCTCATTGTGCCAAACTGGGGATCCGTTCCCCGCCGTCCTCTGACCGCACACCCCAGCAGCCGACATCAGAACTGACCCGTCTCTGGGACATGGTCACTAACAGGGCTCTGCCGTGTCACTCTCTCGGGGTGCTCCTTTGTCCCACTGGTCACTTTCTTCCAGGCTCCTCCTGGTCGCCCTGACCTCTAAGACTGGAAGGTGCAGGGATTCAGACCACCGGGCTTTGCTTTCCCCAGGCCCACCCATGGGGTTGGTCTCCTTCCACGCCATGACTTTAATATCCTCTCTATGGTGCTGATGTCCCAGTTTCTCTCCCTCCCTATAGATTCCAGCCTCCGATATCTCACATACTCCACCCCAGGCTCCTGATTGCTGCCCCATGAACCCGCTCCTCTGCCAACCTCCCCAGTCTAGGAAAGTGGCCACCCGACTCTTCCAAACTTCTGGAGTTTTCCGTGGCTCAGCTCCTCTGCCTCAGCATGTCTCCTAGACTCTGCCTTGCAAGCCCGCCCTCAGGCTGAGCCCTTCACACCTTTTCCACTCCCTGCCCCTGGGTACCACCCTGGTACCAGCCACTGTCGTTCCTTGCTCGAACGATTCAACAGCTTCTCAGTTCAATGGCTTGTAACTCTCTGTCTTACTCCTGTGCTGACTAGTTGTCTTTGCAGCAGCCAGAGGGAGCCTTTGAAAACTAAGGCATACCATGTCACTCCTGTCTCTTGTGGGTTTTGTACTGGGGTGCATAATGTCCTCTGGAAATTCATATCCTTCCCAGAACATTCTGAGGTTATTTCAGGGGTAGTTAAGACGAGGTCAGGCTGGGTAGGTGGGCTCTCACTCAATATGCCTGGGGTCCTCATCAGAAAGGAGTAAAGACACAGACAGACAGACAGACAACACAGACTCAGGGAAGCCCACCACGTGATGCATCCACAGGCCACGGGACATCCAGGACCGCAGGCAACACCAGGAAGAATTTTCCAGTACAACCTTTTGGGGGGAGATCGGCTGTGCCCACACCTTGATTTTGGACTCCCAGCCTGTAGACTGGGAAAGAATCAATTCCCACTGTTTTAGCCACTCACATTTAGTTTTGTGGGCTTTATGGCTCAGAATAAAGTCCACCGTCTTACCTGGCCCGTAGGCCCTCCGTGATCTGCTCTGCTTTCTGGCCTTGAGTCCGGCCTTTCCTCCCCACACACCTGTCTGGCCCCTGGGCTGCGTTGGGCTGTTGGCGGCTCCCCGTGCCTAACTGGGCTGTGTTCCGCTGGGCACCCCCGTTTTCCCTCCTCATAGCACCTGTCAGAGAAGCAGGACCCTTCCACCGACACAGAGGAGCGACTTCCCTCCACGGCTGCACCAGCATCACTCCTGAGGCCCGTCCTACTGCCCTGCTCCTCAGAGAGACTTTCACCCAATGACCTATTGTACGTTCTCGGCTTAGAGCAAATTTCTTGAGAACGGAGGCTTGCTCTCAGGGCCCCTGCTGTACGGAGCATGTGTAGAGCAACTTCGGGCACTTAACAAACACTTGCTGAGTGCATGAGTGAACACCTTCTAGTTTGCTTACTAGACAATTTCCTTGTGTGGCAAGAGTTGTTCTGGGCAAACTGGGCCAGCTTGGGGTTTATTGGGGTCGAGAATGGAGGCTGCACAGATCGGGTTAAGTCTTGCGCAGTGTTTGCTGGAACAGCAGAGATCAGGTTGTCATCTCTAGGAGCATGTGGAGCAGAGATGGGGGGATGCCAGGCGGGGGTCAGCGAGGGGCAGAGGGACAGAGCAACGGGGAGCATTTGGCTGGTGCTAGCGGAGGTTCTCGTAGAATAAGATCCGTGGCCCTACAGTGGATGCAGATCTGCTTTTATTTAAGGGCATCCCACTCACACTGGCCTCAGAATTTCGTCGATGGGCTCTACAGCTCGCTGTGGGAGTGGACAGGTCCCAGGGCCCCTGCAGCTTGTCCCGGGAAACCCATGTGGGTCTCCGCTGGGTCTCTGAGCCCCTGCAGGGCGGTGATGGCTGGAACAGAAGAAGCTTGTGACCCCCGCGGCTGGAGGCTGGAAGGAAAGAGTCCCTCGGTTATACAAATGCCTCGGACTTCAGGAAAACATCTGGGGGACACGCAGAGGCAGCTCTGCTCCGTGGTTTGAATTCCTAGCCAAAGCGCTGTACCTTCCGGAGCAGCCTGGCGGGGAAGCTTCCTGGTGTTTCGCTGTGTTTTTGTAAGGAAGTTGGGGGGCAGGCGAAGGGGCATCACACGGAGTCAGGTTTCGGCTCTCTGTGAGAGAAGTAACCAGCAAGGCACCGTCCACGGGAAGGCGGGTAGCACTCCAGAGAGGGGTCGGAGCGGGCTCCGAGGGCCAGGCGAAACAGGTGAGCAGGGGTCACCCTCCAGGGACCGGGTGACAGGCCCTTCTCTGCCCACACGGCGGGGAAGGCGGCGGTGGCCTCCCCTGCCCGCCAGGGGGCACTGTGTGGCTGCCGTGGTGCCCTGCTCCTGCCCGGGAAGGTGGAGCCCCGCGGTGGGGTCAGAAGGCGGAGGAGCTGGGGTTCCACACACTGGGCTCTCTGGCGCTCACCGGGCAGCACGTTCTCATGCCGCGCCGTGCGGGAGGGAAGAACAAACCGGGAAGGGAGCGAGGCAAGGGGCCTGACTGCCAGACTCAGATACCCTCCAGCTGTGGGATCCGCCCACCGTCCCGTCCTCACACAGGGAGGGGACAGGCTGTCTCAGGTGCCAGCACGGCAGAGAGGACAGAAGGCGCTGGGAACGCGTTGAGAGGGCACCTGAGGCAGGCAGGCTGCTGCCTGCAGGGAGCAGGGCCGTTTTATAGGATCTCCCCGAAGAAGGGACCTCTAGGCTGAGTTCTGAGCACTCCATCGGCCAGACAGAGGAGGACAGGAATTTTCAAGCTAGCGATAACTGGAACATCGCGGAGATGCGAGGGACCTTTATGCCGCTCCCTGGGGAAGGACAGGGATGGGGGGCCAGGGTGAGGTGGGACAAGCTATGGGGAGCCCTGTACGCCAGGTGAGGGCGTTGGGACTTCATCCTGAAGGAGAACAGCCATTGCTGGTGGATGGGGCGGGACAGCCATGTGTCACCCTCACACTCTGAGGGACGGTCGGTCGGGTCACCCACCAACAGGGGCCACAGGGAGAGACCGGGCTTGGAAGATTCCCAAACAGCAGGTGACCCCAACAGGGCTGGTGACTGATGGGGGGTGACAGCTGGGGTGCAGAGGCATCTGGGAAGAGCCCCCAGCAGTGGGCCTGATGCCTGTGGGTAGCTCTTCGTGGGAGGGGGACCAGAGCAGCAGGGTGGTCACTGGATGGGCTGGACGCTGGGATGCCCACCTGCGTGCAGGAGCGGGGGACACAGGTCATGTGGACCAGAGAGGGGGGGGGGGGGGGGCTTCTGGGAGAAGTCTGGAGTTGGACCAGTGGAGGTGCATGGAAGTGAGCCTGGAAAGGGGCTCAGGAGGAAGAAGAATCTCTGGCTTTGATTTGGACGTGAAGCTGGAAGTGGGTGTCAAATACCTTATACTCGCTCAGCTCTCATTTGATGGTACCATGTGTCTTCTCTCTGCAGGTGTCATGCCCTGAACAGGAAGCCCAGGCCTGAAGCAGACCCTCACCAGCCAGAGTTAGAGTTAGGGTTAGGGTGAGGGTTAGGGTTAGGGCTGGACCTCCGAAGGCCCTTGGCCCCAGCTCTGGAGCAGAAGCTTCTAGTCTCCTGTAGGGTGAAGCAGAGAGTGCCCAGGCCCTCACTGAGTGCTGCCCCCCTCCCCGGCCTCCTAGCCCCCCTCGCCCCTCCTGTTCACAGGACCCCATTCCCACGGCATGCCCTCCGCCTCTGTCAGGGGTCCTGGATGTCAAACTGCCCTAAAACACACGGATGTCTGCTGGACTGTGCTGGCCCACATTCTTCACTGAGCATCCCTTTATGTTTTAGGACCCAGAAAATGATTCTCTTTGAAAACACTGACAAGGCTCCTTTCATCCAATAATGATGATTATATAATCTGTGGGTGTTTTTATTGCCGTGGCTGCCCATGGACTTGGGCTTGTTTTAGCAAATTGGAGGGACTCTCTAGATTTCTGACCACATTTCTCTTTTTTAGGTGCTTTTTAACTTTGTTATTTCTACATTTAGCATTTTCTTTCAGATGTATCTCCAATTTTCAGGAAGTTTTTTATGATATATTGTGACATACATCCCTACATTATAGATTTTTTAAATCTTGCCCCTATTAATTACTCTAGGCAAGTAACACAAGGATGCATTTATTGCTGAGCCCTGGGAGTTGGGCCAAGACAGTTAGGGTTGTTGGATCAAATCCTAGGGATGCTTGGGAAGCACTGTGTTTTAACCTTCATCCAGGGGTTGGACACCCCATCGTACACAGCACTTCACAGACGTTCACAACAAGACTTTGTCTTAATGATTCCTTATGAAATGCGAAGATTCTCACTGTAGAAAAGGAGTACTAAGCAAGATGAAATCACTTACTTTCTGCTACAATCAGTACTGGTGTGGCCTCAGGCGCTGGCCATTCATTCTTCACCCGCTGACCAGGCAGAGGCCAGAGCTGGCGGGGAGGGACTCTCTGTCCAGGCCCCACACCAGGGTTCTTGGGCACATTCTCAAACTCTTCTCACCAAGAAGTTCAAAGCAGGAAGAGAAGAGAGAAGGCCCTCGTGCTGTAGGCGATCTTCCGGGGAGAGCTGGGGATGCAGCCAAGTGGCTGGCTGGGCAGATGGGAAAGCGCTATCCGCCGAGACCCTCTGCTCGCACCAGCCAAATGCTCCCCAAGCAGCCGCCGCCCGTGTCTGCATCAGGGCCGACCTGCAGGCCTCCCGTCCCTCGAGGAGGCCTGGGCTCTGGGCAGCCCTGGCATCAGGCACACTTTCCCATGTGCATCAATAGGAGCAGACAGGATCATGTGCTCAGCGAACACTCAGCCTCGAGTGAAATCATCCGAGGCAGCAAAATCCCTGCCGTGGGGGCACTTGGAGATGCCGTGCTATCCCTCGCAGTCCTGATCGAGATGGCCTTTGCTCTCGGTGTTGGGACAAAGGTGGTCTTTGGGCCTGAAGTTTGAGACCAGGCCCCTCTGCCCATGTTCTCATCTTCGAGGGTCTAACGGATCAGGGAGACCCCTCTGGGCGGGGAGGGCCCGAGCACCCCCAGCACCAGGACAGAGTCCAGCTTCTGCCCTTTAAGCCAGGTCAGCCCATGCCCTCCCTCAGACACTCAACAGCAGGCAGCCCCTGGGTCAAGAAACCGCGATGTCGCCATTCACAGAGGACACATCCCCAGCCTTGCAAAAATAATCATTAAAAAAATAAATAAATAAGATAAAATAACATAAAATATCAGGACAGCTTGCGTCCCCTCTGTGTCTGGGCTCTGATGCTGGACGTGGACTTGGACTGGTGCCCCCCGTGTTCTCTGCAACGCTTTGCCCGTACTTCCTGGCCCTGCTCTCAGCCTGTGGGTCCTTTTCCGTGGACCTTTGGCTCAAGGCACACTCCTCAGTGCCATCTATGTCTCAGCAGATGCCTAGTGGGGTCAGGAGAATCTGGCCCGTTATCTCTAGGATAATCTTCAAGGGCCTCTCTGGAAGGTATGAGGGATTCTTAAGTAAGTGAAGGTGTCTCACTTGCAAAGGCTCTGAGCTGAGAGAGTAACCAAAGATCAGTTCCAGATCAGTTCCAAATTATCCTGATTTGCATCCAGGAGCTGCACATCCTTTATGTCCGGAATCCTAAACCTCTAAGTTGGAGGGACCATGCTAGTCATCTACCCCTTGTGGAAGGCCTTCTATACAAATACCTTGGAGTTTTTGTGAAATAACCGAAACTCCGCGTTCAGAGATGGTCAAGAGTTCTTACGGACAAATGCTACGCAAAAGGGAAAACAACATGAGGAGACTCAGAGAACATAAAGACTCCATTTTGCTGAGACCACGGAGGGCTTCAAGAAGTCACAGAAGGCAGGATGGGAGGGCAGAAATGGTTCTGATGGAGACACAAGGGGAGGCCCGGCCCCTCTGTTCAGAAGCGGAGGAGACATGAGGAGGATGGGAGGTGGGCGGAGGGTCCACAGAGGCCGTGGAGGAGCAAGTGAGCCGGCGGGGGGCGGGGGGAAACCACAAGACCATGCTAACGGGCCCAACTCGTATTGACTGCGGGAGCGGGTGAGGGGCAGGGTTTGGCTGGAATTTCATGGAGAGACCAAGGAATGGGTGAATAGTTCTTTGAATTATTGATGGATTTTCTTCACTCAAC